CCTGCTCCGCGGGAAGCCTGCTTCTCCCTCTCCCGCTCCCCCTGCTTGTGTTCCCTCTCTCGCTGCATCTCTCTCTGTCAAATAAACAACATCTTTAAAAACAAATTCTTCGTCTAAGGCTTGAGGCGCCAAGACCACACCCCCACGTCTACACTGTGACTGTGTGTTCATGTGGAACCGTGTGCTTGGTATCAACCTCTTTGCTTTGTCACATGCAAAGACCAATTTCAAGCAGAAGAGTTCATTAGTGGCCAGGGGGGCTGAAGCTCTTGGAGCCATTGTAGAGAGAAAAAACATGTTTTCAAACACATTTATTTGTTTCACTAGGAGTTTGACCATCGATTCGTTGACGGTCTGGAGGACGCGGCCCCCTCTGTGTTGCCAGTTCCTTAGCGTCTTGTCTGACACACAGAAGGAACTCGATACGAATTTATTAAGTAACTGAGAAAATAAATGAAAGGTCTGAACAGCACTTCTGCCACAAAATAACAGCTTATAAATTTGTTTGCACATATACTATGGACCATATTTCAGAGCTCTTTACTCCAAAATTAGGGTACTTGCTGCCTTGATAACTGCCTAGAAAAATGGATGGACTTTAATTCATTTTGCAAACACGTTCTTTTACCTTCAAGCATTTTTCACTTCAGTAAAGGAATCAGTGGAAACCCACAGCTTAAAAAATAAAATTCCTTCTACAGAAATTTCTCAGAAAAAATGTACCATCTTCAAATTAAAGAGGGAAATGTTGTACAATTTGCGAATAAACTGAAAAAGGCCTATTTTGTCACGAAAATGAGCTTTTAAAATTCAGATTCAGGGGCGCCTGGGTGGCTCAGTCCTTAAGCGTCTGCCTTCGGCTCAGGTCATGATCCCGGGGTCCCGGGATCGAGCCCCGCATCGGGTTCCTTGCTCGGCGGGGAGCCTGCTTCTCCCTCTGCCTGCCACTCCCCCTGCTTGTGCTCTTTCTCTCTCTGACAAATAAATAAATAAAATCTTCAAAATAAATAAATAAATAAAATAAAATTCAGATTAAAATGAAAAGAGTATTACCTCAGCCCTTGTAAAACGGGAATAAAAGCTTTAATACGAGCAGGTAGCGGTGCTGATGATACCAGCTAACACTTATTGAGAACGTATTGCACTCCAGGTGCTGGTCTAAGTGCTCTACGGGATTAAGTCATGATATTCTCAGGGCAGATGGTATTTTTGCTTTCATGTAACAGATGCCGCAACATAAACAGGGAGGTTAAACACCTTGCCCAGGTCATTCCCTAGCTAGAGGCAGAGCTGGCGTTTGACCAGACTGGCTCCGGAGCCCTTGTTTTTAACTCTCCTGCCTCTGCAAGTTACCTCTGTATTTCTGCCCTCTTCTTAAAATGAGCTACTCCCCCTACTCAACCTTGCCCCAAAAGATTAAATTGGGCTGTATCATATTGTGTTGATATTATATTTTCATCCTACCTTATAAATCAAATCTAATTCTGGTGCCTGTATGTGTCTGAATGAGTTTAGGCAGAGGCATATAGAGTCAGAGAAGAGGGCAATTGTTGTGAACCCCAAACTGGGCGAGCGGGGCAGGACTTAAAGGTAAGAACCGCATTCCCCTCTGTGTCTCTGCAGGGTATCAGCATCTACTGAGCCTAAAGACTTAACCAATACATCGAGAAGCCTTTAAAAGCGCTGCTGAAATGACGATCTTATTTGACGCGTACCCAGGTACAAAGAAAGCAGAAAACTTTCTTTTCGGGCTGCTCTGTCTTACCAGGTGCATGGCAGAGCTCCGAGGCGGATGTGGCTCAATAAGCAACTGAGATGGCGTCTGTCCAAAGTTCTGTATCTGGGCCTCCATGGCCTGCAGGGGAAGGAGAGTGATTGTCATAATCAATATGCATCAACGAGAGAGGTCAACACACTCCCTGACAATGCAAGTGGATCCCAAGTCAGCCATGAAAGAAGTCCAGAAAATTCACCGGGTGCTCTTCTCTCAGGGTGCAGAATCATCCAAGTGTTAGTATTTTGTAGACAGGCTTTGCTTTCTCCTTCCAAACATGCTTCCATTAACCAAGTGGTTATTCTTACGTAGAAGCTGGGGTTAAATGTGGGAGTGTTATGCCTGTGAGTACATGCAGCTGAGGCCAAAGAACACTTCTAACACTAAATACACCACGTATACCTTAATAAAGTCCTGTGTAAGGAGGAACGTATGGGGATCTCTAATGAAATAAGCTTCTGGGATCTTGGGAAAAAAGAATGATACATAGTCAGTCCACCAATGATACGAAATAAAATTCAGAAAATCATATATTCCAGTCAATACAGAGGGTAATCATTAAGACTTTTGTATAATGATTAATTAATGATGGCCAAATTTTCAATACAAAAAAATATATTTTAGCATGTCATGCTTTTTTAAGATGAATGCTGAAATATTATTTAATGTCTATAAGGTATGAATTCACTTCTCTCAAAAATTTTTTGAAATTTTAGAGATAACTAGCCCAAAGAGGAAATAATTCTTTGGGCATCTTGAGCTATGAAATATTTTATTAAAGCCTGTGCAACTAGAAATATTAATGAGATTTTATGGCTCCCAATGAATAAAAATAATCTTGGACCTCAAAATGTCCGGACTGTATAATATGCCTTTTTCTGTGTATATGTCAAAGATATAATCTTATAGGAGATTTATGTATTTCTTCTATGTATAAATCCTACAGGCGAAAAAAAAAATCAATATATTAAGCTAGACTAACAGAAAAGATTCTTCCAAAACACTGTTAGCGTGTAATTTAAGTCAACAAGGAGAAGCACAATATTTACAGTGGTCATTACTCTGTTACCATGCTAATTTTTCCCCTAAAATTGTGTGCAATTTGGTTGCACATAAAAGTGAAATATGAAACTCACTGCTGAGTGCTTAGGAATGCAGGTAAGGTGGTAGATGGCTCTCGACCCTGTGGCGCCACTAATCACATTCACTGTCTAGAAATCTCATTTATAAAGTACTTAAATTTAACAATCTGTCCGCCTAGACTGCATTTCAAGAAAATGTTTATCAATAAAAATGTGAATTTTCAAATTTGTTAGCAATATTAAACATGAATGCATCATTATCTGCCATATTTTAGCAATTGCATAAATGGGGCTTTGGTTCTTTTATTTGCAGAGGCAACAGGATGAATCATTAAATCTCTTTAAGTGCTGTCCAATCTTAACGTATCCATTTATTTGCACGGGGTCCACACATACGCAAAGTGGGACTATTTAAGTAGATCGTACTCACATAGATTCCATCATACTTTATCTCCCCAGTGCAAGATTTACGATTATAAAAGAGGGAAGAGACTGTTTCTGGTTAGGTTCACATCATGAACAATAAACTCCTGAGAGTTACTTGAAAGAAAAAAAATAGTAATTTCATTGTTAAAGTTGCCCTGGCTAGAAAATGTCCAATACCTAGCTTAATGTATCATGAACAGCTAAAGTCGCTCTAACAATAGGTCCTCTGGCTTGTGTTCCGAATCCTCCAGAAAGGACTGCGGTGGGGTGGGGAGACAGGGGTAAAATTAAATACAGTTCAGTCTCTACGTCAGTGCTTGTACTTAGTAGGTAGCCTTTAAATGGCCATAGATGGACTAAATCCACAAACATGCTCTGCTTGACTTGATTTTTGTTCTGAAGGGCAAATATTAAAACTATACCAGAAAATCTTAGGAGACTCACTCACTTTCCAGAAATCTGTACAGTTCTCTTCAGTGGGCCTACCTCCGATCCTTTTTGGACTGAGGCAGAGTACACACACGTATTTATTTTAAACAACTCTCAAATGGCATCAGGATAAATATTAAGCTGTGATCAAGTTAATATTGTGATTTTGCCCTTTCATTAAGACAATCTATTCCCTACACTTAACATTTATTTATTTTTTTTTAATACTAAACTGAATCCCTCCTCCTTGTGATCCAGATCACATGCCTTCATGACCTAAAAGTTCTTATTCCAATATTTACCTTTTGGCTGTCTTGTAATCCTGTCTACCAGTAATTCCTTAACCCCTGATTTAAAAATATACAGATCTTTCTGATCTTGAAAAAGCATGCTGCCTCCTCTGAGTTCTCTTTCTTGTCACTACCAACCCGTTTGAATGGGGAGTGAGCACCTACTGATTTTCTTCACCTCTCCCCCGTTCTATGTTTTCTGTTCTCCCCCACTTTTAGAAAGTCATCAATGTCTTCTTTCTGTCAAGAGTGAGGTACTTTGTATGGGAAGGTGCCCAGGGATATACACAGCCCATTCTGTAATCTATGAAGCACAGCAGCTGAGTGGTTGTTCTGAGAACTACTCCCGATGTAGGAGAAAATGCCTCCCCTTCATGCGAACCTTGGGCAGGGTTCTAAATCCTTCCCAGACTCCCTAAATCATAATGAATAGCCTCCATATTCTCATAGCACTTTTTTCCCCCTTTATCATGAAATTCAATGCACAGTTCTTTACATAGGTCTGTTTGCTCAGACTGTTGATCTTTGCAGGTCAAGGCTGTGACTTACTTCTAAGAGAGTCCAAAAACATTTGCTGAATATAGAAGTGGGGCAACGGTGGGACATTTGTGCAAAACTGAAAGCACAGAAAAGGAAAAGCACAGTAGTAGAGAAAACGTCGGAGTGCTTACTTTTATAATTCAGTACTACAAAGACAGTGACGTCAACAAACGTTGTTAAATGCTTACTCAATGCTGAGGGATAAGAAATCAGATACCAGCCTGTCCCCAAGAAGTTTGCAGCCCACGAGGACATAAGATGAGTGGTAATCAGGGCACACAGTAGGTAGAGGACCATGGTGGAGGCCATCCTGGAGTGCAAGGGAGCCCAGGAGTGATGTTTACGTCAGACTCAGGGTAGAGCAGGGCACAGGGAGAGCAGGGCTGTTAGGAAAGGGGCTTCCAGAAAAGGGACATGAGCTGAGGTCTGAATGATAAGTAGGAATTCTGGCTAGCTGACAGCAAAAAAAGATCATCGGAAGTCGCGTTTTAAAAAAATTCAACATAGGGCACCTGGGTGGCTCAGTCGTTAAGCGTCTGCCTTCGGCTCAGGTCATGATCCCGGGGTCGAGTCCCACATCGGGCTCCCTGCTCGGCAGGAAGCCTGCTTCTCCCTCCCCCACTCCCCCTGCTTGTGTTCCCTCTCTCGCTGTGTCTCTCTCTGTCAAATAAATAAATAAAATCTTAAAAAAAAAAAAATCAACATATGTCTATTTTTCTATACATATTCTGCGTGGGTTGGAGAGACTTAATCTAGCTTTATTTATTCATAAAACATATACTTACTGAGCACCTACTATGTACTGGATACCATTTTAGATATTTGTGATATTCATCAAACGTAACAGATAGAGATTCAGGCTCTCGTAGAGCTTAACGTTCTAGCCAGGACAGCATAGGCACTTACATTCAGCCAGATGTCACCAGCCAGCAGTCCTTGGGCTAGATAGAAGCAGCTCACAGGTATGGTTTCTATCTCAGCCAACATTTATAGGTCAGAAAATTTCAAACAATAAATTGGATTTTTTGGCGTCTCTCAAAAAACCCACAGGAGGTGGTTCATCAGCATTCCTGCACAGCAACACCTGGCTGGTGCCAAGGCAAAGGGCCCTTTTATAATGCCCACAGCTCACAGGACCCAGGCATGTGCTGTCTCCCGGCCCGCTTCACTGGTTTATTCCCTGTCTGACTTCTATAGACTTCGGCATTTGTTAATCCTTTAAAAATCTACTACCAAAATGTTAATTTGTATTACAAGGAAGCTATCACTTTATAGATCTACAGTAGTCCCATGTTCACCCTTGGGGTATATGGTCCAAGACCCCAAAGAATGCCTGAAACTGTGGATGGTACTGAACTCTATGTACGCTGTTTTTTCCTATACATACATACCAATGATAAAGTTTAATGAATATGCACGGTGAGAGATTAACAGCAATAACCACTGATAAAATAGAACAATGATAATATACTGCAATAAAAGTTACGTGAATGTGATCTCTCTCTCAAAATACCTTATGGTACTGGGCTCACCTTTCTCCTTAGGATGATGATGTGAGAGGTAAAATGCCTATCTGATGAGGGGCGCCTGGGTGGCTCAGTCGGTTAAGCGTCTGCCTTTGGCTTAGGTCATGATCTCAGGGTCTTGGGATGGAGCCTCAGCAGGGAGTCTGCTTCTTCCTCTCCCTCTGCCCCATGCACCCCTCACTCCCGCTCGTGCTCTCTCTCAAATAAAATCTTTAGAAAAAAATGCCTAACCGATAGGATGAAGTGAGGTAATGAGGTAGGCACTGTGACTTAACATCAAGCTACTGCTGACCTTCTGAGGCTAGGTCAGAATCACTGCTTCCAGAACATGGCTGACCTCAGGTCACTGAAACCATGGAAAGCCAAACAGTGGATAAGGGGAGCCTACCGCATTGCACTTTCCACTGAAGCAAGAATGAACTGATACTGTATGTGTGAGCTCATGACTTTTATAATGTGTATGAGAGGAGAGTAAAACTTGGGAAATAACTGTCAATCGAACTTCATCGAATCTCAGCTGTTATCCATTGTGAGAAGTGTCACTAATTTATATACTATTAAGAAGTAAAAAAATGTTGCCAATTCAACTATGATCCACTATTGATTGCAAGACACACAGCGATATGGAGTGTTGAGAAGTGACAATGACAGGCATCTCAGAATCAGTAAGTGATAGTAACATTTTATACATAATACACAGCAATAGAAGTCTTGCACACTTCATATAAATCTAGCATAGGTAATAGACTTAGAAGATTTTTCAAAACAAATTTGACTGACAAAATCTT